TATGTGACTTTGAACCCTTCCAGTCCTAACTTCATCGTTCTCAAACGTGTAAGAAATCCAGCTTCCACGAACCATTATCACTTCTCATTTTTACGTATTTAAAGTATTTCGTAATCCGGTCAAATCGCTCCATCATTCGTTTGCAGGTATTTCGTAATCTTTATAAATGAGCTTCTGGGCACTGCTGCCATGGTGGTTATAACCAAAGACACAACCACGATTGTTGTTGATTGAAGTACTCAGGAAGCTATTACCAAGAGAGTTTCACAAAACAAGAACCAAATTGAGGTTTCCCTTTCTTTTCTGCCTCATATCTCCATCCCTAAAAAATTATTTGCATTGTATGTGCAAGGCTTTTTGTTTGTTGTTAATCGATTTTGTTTCAGTTTATTTTCATTTGTGATATCTTTCGTTGATTTTTCATTTGCGTTTATTTTTCATATTGACGATTTTCTTCAAATTTCTAGATTTTTGACTATTTTCATGGTTACCAGAGTAATTGAAAATGGATGTTGAGAACCACCTTCACAAGCTGCAAGCACGGTATCCTTCGAAATCATACACGAAACTACTCAAAAATCGTTGTCTTCGCCATTATGTTTAATTTACTTATGTTTAAGTAAGCATTAATTGACTTATTATCTTTTGAATTTCATATTCCTGATTTATACTTTGTGAGGGTGTTTGCAACTTTCAACTGATATTCACAAGGAGCGTATATAAGCTATAAGATAATTAGAATCCGCTCAAAGAAAATTTTGTAAGAAAATTTTGTAAGTGCTGATATAATTAGAAGTTGTTCAAAGTAGCAACTGATATTCCTTCATTTATTTTTTTAATTCACTTTGTGTTGGTTTTCATTCAATGATAAGTTAACTTTGTATAATGTAAGTCTATTTTTTCTATCTCTTTGTGTGTTTGAAGAAATGTCACAAAAATTTAAGAATTGTTTCTTTATTTTGTTGTTTACTATGTGTTTGAAGGAATATCTAAATGAAAGAAAAATAGACTTATTTAGATTTTGGATAGATCAGCATTTGCTTGATCTATTTTGAGTTTTTTAAGAATGAATTGAGGTTGAATGTTTTTTACTCTTATGTTTGTGTTTGTAGATACCTTAAACATTGTGCATTGAGGTAAACATATTTTATCATATGTTTTTTGAAGTTTGAATTTGCTAAGTATTGCAATCATTTCTAAATATGGTGTGCTTAAGTATTATACTTTACTTAAAGACTTAAGCATTAGAATCAGTTGGAACTAACATTGCAATTGTTGTGATAGATTGTTTATCTTAGAAATTTAAGACTGACATGAAACGGAAAAAGAAAAAAAAACTTTCATATTAAAACAAAGTGATATGAAAAAATTCCATTCACATGTTACACACAATTCCCACTTACAAATTCAACGGATCCAAAAACTCTTATTTTCTAACATACACAATGTACAAATTCTCCACAATAAAAAAAAAAATTCTTTTCTTAGAAAACCTTTTTTCCTCTTTCAAGTTTGGTCACATAAGCCACAGTATTAAAAAAATCACCCACATACATAACCCTTTGTTTATACAACACTCACAAAAAGATAACCTTTTGAAATTTTGTAACATCAGCATATTACAAACTTCATCTCTAACCTCACCATCACCATATTAGTTTCACAAACATTTAAACATCTGCTAACACCAACACTTCTGCTAACACAGAAACTTCTTGTAACAATTATACACAGTGGATATGGTAAAATCTAAATACTTAAAAGAGTATGTATTTCTAATATATAATTTGATATATGTCTTCATTCAGTTATGTTGATACAATTATTTTTATAAACAAATAACTCTATTGTTCATACAATTATATTTTTAAATAGGATAAGTTACAAATATTTTTATAAACGGAAAAATTCTATTGTTGTTATAATTGTTTTTATAAACGAAAATAAATTATAATTGTTATTTTCAATTCAAAAAGTCTATTATGGATAATGTGTAATGTGTATGTCAAAGCGGATGAATATGAACGATGAGATGTAAGCTATAGATTGTTCATTTTAATGTCCATCTCTAAATTTTTTTTTCCTATTGTTTACAATAGATTGAAGTTAGAGAATCAGTTGTGCGGTTTATTATAGTTACGAATCAATATTTAAAAGTTAGTGTATATTATTATCCTATATTTATAATTAAGTAAATGTCAACCAATTAAATAATGAATTCATACTTTATAATGTGAATTCTGACCGAACCCGTGCGATAGCATAAGTATCTTACTAGTTTCATATAAAAATTACAAATTCAGTAAAAATAAATAAAATAATGAAATAGTGCACATATTCAAATTCAATTGAGAAATAAAAACAAGTATTTTGCACCATCACATTCCAACAATAGATAGCTATTGTTGTCAAAGGTTCAAGAATAAGTACCACAACGTCTATAAGAAAAAGTACCACAACGTAGCATTGAAATTCAAATAACTTGTTATCCTTGTCACATTACCTTAAAAAAAATGAAAAAACATGTAACAAAAAAACAGCTAAGATTATCTACGTTAATAGAATACCATTGTAATCTCAAAAACTAAAATAAGCAAATAACAAAATCTATTCTAACACATATAAAATGTAACAAATTTTTTCCAGTATTTGAAACATGCATAACGTTTTTCGCTGTTTCAACAAATTTAATCAATAACCAACCACATTGTATTATTATTCTTGTTTCCCCTCATTGATTCATACGTGGAATTTGATTCTGGTATTCATTAAGGAATATGTGGTTAAGAATCTAATTCTTAATCACAGATTCTTAAGGTTTGTTTTATAAGATGATGAATTGTTTTTCATGCTGCAAGACAGATGTTGAAACATCGGCTTATAAAAAAGAACGTTCCAAATATGTTTCCAAAGGAAGGAGAACATTCAAATCATTAGCAGCTGCTATGTCACTCAAAACAGGTTCGTGGTTTGATAATTGATTCGTTCATGGTTAATTGAATCGTCTTTTCAAACTCTATCACAAACAATTTGATTAATTACTTGTGCATGTGCACGTGCATGTTAATAAAATTTGTAGGTAGTAGCAGACATAGACAAATTACAGCGGAGATATTAAAATATGGAACCGCGCAAAATGATGTTAAAGTATTAACATACGAAGAAGTGGTTGACGCGACAAATAATTTCAGCTCGGATTGTCTTATCGGAGTAGGTGGATTTGGGAATGTTTATAAAGGATATATCAAAAGCATTGAACAGGTTTGTGTTTTTTTTTGTGTGTTTATATTAGATTTTTTTTAGAGTAATGAAATTCTTATGTTGAATATTTGTGTTTAGACGGTAGCTGTGAAGAAATTGAATAGGGATGGGGATCAAGGAACAAGAGAATTTTTCGCCGAGGTTTTGATGTTGAGTATGGTGAAACATCCAAACCTTGTGAGGCTTGTTGGTTATTGTGTAGAAGATGATCAAAGGATTTTAGTTTATGAGCATATGGCTAATGGAAGCTTGGAAAATCACCTTCTAGGTAAGCATTGGTAGAGAAAAACATCATGTTACAATTTCAAAGACATGATTACCAAAACTAAGACCAGAATATGTTTGTTTGTTTGTTTGTTTATCTCAGATATAGGTAATGATAAGGAACCTTTGGATTGGCAAACAAGGATGAAAATCGCGGATGGAGCAGCGAGAGGACTTGAGTACCTGCATAATTCTGCAGATCCACCGATTATTTTCCGCGATTTTAAATCGTCTAATATACTATTAGATGAAAATTTCAATGCAAAGCTTTCTGATTTTGGTCTTGCTAAGATTGCTCCAAGAGAGGGTGAGGGCTTGGTCTCGACTCGGGTTATGGGGACATATGGCTATTGTGCACCAGAGTATGCTGCTACTGGTCAATTATCCTCAAAATCAGATATCTATAGTTTTGGTGTTGTGTTTTTGGAAATTATCTCGGGTAGACGAGTTATCGACCCTGCAAGATCTGCAGAAGAACAAAACTTAATTGATTGGGTATGTCAGATATCTATCCTCTACGTATCGTTTTGTATTGAATTATTTGAGTTTATCTACTGGCATAAGTATCTATAAGATTGTTCGCGAATGCTTATGAAATGGTTGTGTTTGTTTATGATTTGGCAGGCACAACCTTTGTTTAAGGACAGGACAAAGTTCACCCTGATGGCTGATCCTTTGCTTAAAGGCCAGTTCCCGGTGAAGGGACTATTTCAAGCTCTAGCAGTGGCAGCAATGTGTCTACAAGAAGAAGCCGATACACGGCCTTATATGGACGATGTCATAACGGCTCTTACGCATTTAGCAGTACACAAGACTGAAGAAAAAGACATAGCTGGTGAATCTCTAAAAATTGCTGGTCATGTTGAATCTTTTAGAGCTGCAAATTCAATTGGATCTGAAAGGGCATAATAATAGTAGCTACAATTTGGCCAAACACAGACTATAGGATTTCACTCAAAAAAATATGGCAGGAAAAAAAGCACTTATAGAGTGTGATTCTGTTTGTGTTAAATGGTTAGGCTTTTAGTCATTTCCTTTTGGGATTGGATTCAGGATCCCTATGATTCATCTTCCTTTCTTTTATTTTTTCTCAAAGAAAGATTCACCTGAGTTTCGGTTTCAATTTCATTTCATCATTGGACATTTGTTACAAATGTCCAAAAGTATAAATGTATGTTTCCAAATTCAATTACAAGTACATTGTTATTGTTATTTGATTAATAAGTTATAAATATACATTGTTTCAGATTTTATGACTAACTCATTTCTACAAAATCGACTTGTAAAGCGACTGATTCTTAATATGCATGAAAATTGAAACACGTAATCGGAAAAGAGAAGAAAAAAAAGAGCATGATCCGGAAAAAGAACCGTGAAGATTATTTAATGATAATTCAGTAAAGGTGTAACGATGTAATGTGAGCCGAGATTGATAAATACATGTAAATGCGTACTGGAGTAGATTCGGATCCGACTTAGAGTTGAAAGTTGTTGAAATCATTCTTGAGGATTTTGTAGGTGTAACCCGGAATTCTGTTGAAATGATTACTTTCATTTACTTCTGTAACAGAACATATTTTCCTGAAGAATCTACTTGTTGTGTTTCTTTGCTTCTTCCTCTTCCATGTTGCTGGCAAAAACCAAAAACTAGGCTTGGACATGGACATGGAAATGGTTTTATCAGAAACCATTTCCATGTCTGCGAGATAGTGCTGAGGTTTCTGCATAGTTCCTCTTTTATCTAACTCGAACTTTGTGAAATATTCAATTTCCTTTCTCACTAGTGATCCAATAGTGCCTCGTGTGCCTATAGCAACAGGTGAAGCCATTTGGACTTGTGCCAATGAGTTATATGGCCCTAGTCTTTATAGTGCATGAGTTTGATGTTAGAAAAATGAATGAGGCTTGTAGCTGAAGAAAGATGGGATCATGGTTCTTAATTTTAGGTAGGGTATCTATTGCTTATCTTTTTTCTTTATTAAACTATACATGATTAAGTGCTTTATGAAAAGTAAATGTGTGGAATTTCTCATTAATTGAAACTTTAAAAAGTTGAAATGAGTTGGTTTATGAACATCATATACTTTGCACTTTTTGACACATGTTTCTGCCTAATCAAAAGTTTGTTATGCATACACCAGTGAGTGTTAACTAGGAATATTTTTATTTGGTAATGGTATACCTCTTAAATTAGAGTTATAAAGCAAATTTTGAATTTCTTTGGCGCTTAAGTGATGGTTTACTTTCTTTTTTATAATAGCATGTCATGTTAAAGTTATTCTCCACCTTTCATGCCTTGGTTATGGGAAGAGGGGGAGATGTGTCTTTCATAAACTTTCTACAATAGTGATGATGCAATCATATTCAAGCAGTTGCTAATTCAATAGTGATTGATATTTGTTTAAGAGTTGGTTCACTTTTAATTAGGACTCATCCACTATCAGTGGCGGAGTCAAAAAGAATTATGAAACTCGAGAAAATTAAGAGTTTTTCATTTTAATCCTTCTCTAATTGAGAATTTTAATTTTTATTCTTTTTTTTTTCATACAAATTTCTTGAGCCTTAAAAAAGTGTCTCGCGCACTAAAAAATTGATATCTAAAGCTCTAGTTAGATTCTTGATCGTGTTTTCAAGAATCACACGTCAGATATCGTGTTTTCGAGATCGTGGGTTGTTGTCAATCAATCACTGCGAAGATGAATGGTAATAACGACATTCTGAATTCTCTTCCAAATCTTGACAGTAAGAATTGGATTCAATGGAGAAAACATATGAAATCGATGTTTGGCTTTCATGAAACCCTAGAAATGGTTACTAATGTCGTTCCTGCGCTAGCTGCAGATGCAACCGACACGTAGAGAGTCGCTCATAGGAAAGCCAAGAAGAAGGATTACAAGGTTGCGTATTATATTTAAACGACGGTATACTCGACGAACTTCGACAAAATTTCTCATATTGAATCGGTGAAGGAGGCATGTGATATTCTTGTCAAGTACTATAAAGGATGTGAGAAAGTCAAGGTTGACAAGTTGAAAATCTTGCGATGACAATATGAATTGGTGTCGATGGGAGAAGACAAAAAGCTTACAGACTATGCGTCGAATATGCAGAAACTCTTCCATCTCATGAAAGATTGTGGTGAAACCCTAACTGATAATATGATAGTTGAGAAGGTAATGCGTACGTTGACCTCTCACTTTGATCACGTTATCGTAGCTATTCAACAATCCAAACAACTTGAAACCCTAAAATTAGATGATTTGGTTGGTTCGTTGGAAGCACATGAGATTAAGATTGTCGAAAGGAAAAGAGTTCAAGAATTGATACAAGCACTGCAGGCTCGGTCATTGAAAAAGAATGGTGGTTCTAACAAATTCAAAGGAAAATTTGTCAAGACTCGTGGTAAGAAGTCATGGTCGAATCCTCACAAGAATAAGGTCGATGGCAGGGCTTCTGAATCCTAGAAAAAAGGAGGAGGAAATTCCTATTAGGAAGACAAAGAAGAGAAAAAAAAGGTGTGCAGTGCTAAAATTGTAAAAGTGAGGTCACTTAGCCAAGCATTGTTGGTACAGAAAAGACAATGGACCGATAAAAGGAAAGGACGAAGGGGGAAATATTGCACGCCAAGATTCAGATGATTATGGAGATATGGTGGTTATGGATGCATTTGCAAATAACCATGTCGAATCCAAGATCTTGTTCCTCGACTTTGGCTGCTCGAATCACATATCTGGTCGAAACGAGTGGTTAGTAGATTTCGACGAGTCGAAGAAGAGCAAGGTTAAACTTGCTGATAATAGCTCGTTGCAAGCAGAAGGTACTGGAAACATTGTTGTTCAAAGGAGCAATGAAGCTAAAGCCTTGATCAAATGTGTACTTTATGTACCTGGCATGAAGTGCAATCTACTAAGTGTTGGACAACTGGTCGAAAAAATGATTCTCAATCGTCATGAAAGATGGAGTTTTAGTCGAAGCCCACAACAATTTGGTCTTATAATATCTATTGTTGAAGAACGTGACATTCAAGAACTTGATCAATTCAACTGAGGTACAATGTTTGAAAACAGTTGTCAAACACAAAGATTGTTGGTTGTGGAATTTGAGGTTTGACCATCTGAATTTTAGGTCGCTCAATCAAGTGGTTACTCAAGAGATGGTAAATGGCATACCAAGTCTTGTGATTCTCGACAAACTCTGTGAAGGTTGTTTAGTCGAAAAGCAATCCATAAATTATTTTGTTTCGATTATGCCAATGAGATCATCCTGCTTACTCGAAGTTGTACATTCAGATGTATGTGGCCCGTTCGAAGAGCAACCCATCGGTGGAAATAGGTATTTTGTTTCGTTTATCGATGAGTATAGTTAAAAGCTCTGGATCTATGTGATCAAGTGAAAGGATGAAGTATTTAAGAGATTCAAGATACTTGTCGAAAATCAGAGTAAGGAGAAGATCAAAGTTATGCGAACAAATGGAGGTGGAGAATACACATCTAAGATATTTGAAGAGTTTTGTGAAGAGCATGGTGTCGATCATGAGGTAACTACTCCCTATACGCCTCAACACAATGGAATTGCAAAAAGAAGAAACAGGACCATATTGGATATGGCGAGATGCATGCTGAAACAGAAGAATTTGCCAAAATCCTTATGGGGGAAGTTGTTTGGACTGCAGTTTATATTCTGAATAGGTTCCCTACCAAGAAATTGAAGAACAAGGTTCTTGAAGGAGTGTGGAGTGGAAAAAAACCATCAGTGAGTCATCTGAAGATGTTTGGCTTTATGTGTTACAAGCATGTTCCTTATGCGAGAAGAAGGAAGCTTGATGACAAAACTGAACCTATAATTTAGGTAGGATACCATAAAACTGGTGCATACATTCTATTCAATCCAATTAATTAGAAGATTGTGTTGAGTTGAGATATTGTGATTGATGAAAGTTCTGTCTGGGATTGGTATTCTACTAATGAAATTAATAAGCCATTGATGAGTTATGGTTTCGACGAAGTAGCTGATGAAGTCGAAGTTGAAGAAGTTGCAGATATTCCAGTAGAAGTCGAAGTCAAAGCAATTGCTGACATTCCTAACACAGTCAAAGTCGAAGAGGGTGTGGCTAGCACAATCCAAATACCTCAAAGAGTTAGAGTTCGTCCAACAAGACTTCAAGACTATGAAGTGATTGGTGATGATGAAGTAAAACCAGATGGATAATTAGTTCATTTTTCTTTACTTGTCGGTGTTGAGCCAATCAACTATATTGAGGCTTTAAAGAATAAACAATGGAAGTCAGTTATGGTCAAAGAGTTATAGGCAATTGAAAGAAACAACACATGGGAGCCAGTCGAATTGTCAGCACACACAAAAGCTATCAAAGTGAAGTTGGTGTTCAAGTTGAAACACAATGCTAATGGTTCGATAGCAAGACATAAGGTGAGATTGATAGCTCGAGGATTTCTTCAGAGAGATGGACTCGACTACTCTAAAGTATTTGCACTTGTATCAAGATTAGAAACGGTCTAACTAGTGGTAGCCTTGGCATGCAATCAAGGCTAGTTTACATTTCACTTAAATGTGAAGTCAACATTTCTGAATTGTCCTTTAGACGAAGAGGTCTATGTCACACAACCTCATGGGTTTGTGATTCAAAAGGAAGCGAGTAAAGTATATAATTTGCACAAAGTGCTCTATTGCCTCAAGAAGACACCTAGGGCATGGAACAAGAAGATCGACTCATACTTAGTCGAATTGAGAATTGTAAAATGCAAGTGTGAATATGGTGTATATGTTCAGGTTGTAGAACATGATATAACAATCATCTGCTTACATGTCGATGACTTGCTGGTAACTGGAAATAGCTTGGAGAAGTTGTCGAAGTTCAAAGATTTGATGATGAAGGAATTTGAAATGTCAGATATGGGAAAATTGTCTTATTTCCTAGGCATAGAATTTCAAATGTCAAAGAAAGGTATGGTGCTGCATCAAAAGAAGTATGTCAAAGAGATACTCAAGAAATTTAGGATGGATGATTCGACTCCAGCATCTTCGCCTATCGAACCAAATTTGAATTTGGAGAAGCATGGAGAGGAAGACAAAGTCGATGTAACTTTGTTTAAACCAATAGTTAGATCTATGAGGTATGTGTGCAACAGTTGACCTGATATAGGTTTCACAGTCAGATTTGTAAGTATATGTATAAGTGAACCAAGGGTGTCACACATGAAGGGTGCAAGAAGAATTTTGAGATACTTAAAAGGATCTATAAACTATAGAATTCTATTTCGACGAAACTCTGAAAACAAAGAAGCTATGGTTACTTTTTTTCCAGATGCTAGTTAGTGTGGAGATAAGGAAGATTGAAGAAGCACAATTGAATATGCAAGAAACACAAGAAAGGGGGGGGTTGAATTAAGTTGCACCAAATGTAATCTTTTTACAACTCAAATACAAAGCTAACGAGCGAATAACAATAAATGAGCACAATTATTTTTATCCCGGTTCACTATTAACTAAGTTATTTCAGTCCACCCTACAAGGTGATTTTCCTTATCCACAAGAACTTAATCCATTATAATCAACCGATTACAAACAATCACAATAAGTCTGATCAACCTTGTTGATAACCCTAACAAGTTCTTCGGTCCTAATTGCCAATCTAAGATGACCGCAACCAAAGTCTTCTTGAGAATCCTGACTCACTGAGTCTCTCAAGGAACCTATCATCAATTGTTGATTACAAATATATGTATACAAAGATGCTTCTAATAAGCAGATTACACAAAGTTTAAGTACAACAACACAAAAATGTTGATAGCAAGATATAACCAAAAGCTCC